TTTGCTAACTTTATTATTACCTTTTCTGTCCGACTAGTTGGGTGATACTAAAACAATTAGACCCTTCGCCCTCAAGGGCCACGGGTCAATAGCCCATTGGGCTTCGCCTCATGGGCTATTGACCCGTAGCCCACAAGGGCTATGGGTCTAATTGTTAAATATACCCCAATTTTCGAAACTGCACATGTTGTGAAAAATGTTTGAAGGATAATAAACACAATAGCCTGCATTTGACTTTGAAAATATGCTCGGATATTTGTCCACGGACGTTATCTGTGCCTCAAAGCTCACAGTTTTCCTTGAGCTTCGCTCTTGGAAAACTGTTTGCTTCTCAGAACAGATAATGTCTGTAGACAAATATCCAAGCTTATATTCGTACCAAATGGAAGGTATAATGTTTATTCATTTCCCAGTTGTGCTTTCTGCAATACTCACTATTCAGGACAGAAACAAATTCCTTCTGCGACAGATGTTTATGGAACCAATTAATGTAAGAGTTTCCAATAATTTCTATTTGTTGACCAGAAAAAATTGCTTCATACTACCTTTGAGACCCCCCACCCCATCAAAATATCCAATGACTTTCCACATGGGGTGCATAGGGATGTTTCCTGAAGGTGCACAGAGACAATGTCTTAAATATAGCAGTATGTCTACCAAGTACTTGAATTACTATTAAGTTTAAGTCACAAATTCAGTTTGCATTCCATTTCTGAGCAGCTGTTTGTGACAAGTAAAAGTTACTGCCTTGTTCAAGAAGGTACCTCTTCTCCCGCTTCTCTTGGCTGTAATTAATATAGAGGGCTCTCAAAATGGGTGGCAATGTGGTGAAAAAGTGTTGACTTCTCGTACAGTGGAACCTCAATATATTAAATGGCCAAGGGACTGGCAAAATATATTCACTATAATGAGGTTTCGTTATATTGGGGTTCCTTTTGGCATATTTTACTACTACCAATGAGCAAAGAATACCATTTGTTATACCAAGGACTTTGTTAAATAGAGGTTCATTAAATTGAGGTTCCACTGTACTTTTAATGTACGTCTCATCTTTATAAACAGGTATGGCAGAGCTGAAGTGCTGGCTGGTTTTGTGAATGGACTGTTTTTAGTGTTTATAGCATTCTTCATTCTATCTGAAGCAGTAGAGGTACAAATAAAATTAAATTGTCTATTATAGACCCTATTCATAAACAGCTGCCAACTAAATATTCTTTTGTATGCATTCAAATTAGCCTCACTAGACTCGTTTGGGAGTAAAAATTCTTTTGAATTATCCACTCAAAAACAAGGTTAGTCAAGCTAATTTTAAAGTTTACAAAAGATTTTATAATTAGCAGCCATTTATGAATAGCGTCTATATCATAATGTAGATCCATTTATTAAATTCATCCTGGTACGGCTACATGTACATGTAAACCTTGTAAACAAATTCAGTTTTTGCTTTCCACCATCATGACATTCATGACATCATGACATCATTCAAAGTTTACAAAAGATTTTATAATTAGCAGCCATTTATGAATAGCGTCTATATCATAATGTAGATCTATTTATTAAATTCATCCTGGTACGGCTACATGTACATGTAAACCTTGTAAACAAATTCAGTTTTTGCTTTCCACCATCATGACAAGAACATTTCTTGTAACATCTATGTCTCCATAAAAGAGCAAGGCCTTTTTTACATGTTTATAAAACACATTGTGGAGGTGTGGTGGCATTATGGTTAGTGTGCTTGACCCCACATTGAGCAGTCCGGGTTCAAGCCCTGGCCGGGAACATTGTGTCGTGTTCTTAGGTGAGACACTTTACACTTACTAAGCCTCTCCTCACCCAGGTGTACAAATGGGTACCGGCGAATTTAATGCTGGGGGCAGCCCTGCCATGGACTAGCATCCCAACCAGGGGGGAGTAATAAATAATAATCCTAGTTGCTTCATGCCACAGAAACCAGGATAAACTCCGGCCTGATAGGCCACTTGGTTCGTATGCAGACTTAAACCTACCTTGTAAAACACATAATAATTCTTTACTTTTATTTTGTTTTCACAGCGAGCTCTTCATCCCCCAGAAGTGAAACATGAAAGACTCTTTATTGTATCTGTTCTAGGATTTTTTGTCAATCTCATTGGTATCTTTGTTTTCCATCATGGAAGTGCGGCAGGTAAACATGTAGTCATTGACTCAGTCCTGGTCATCTCCTGTGAGAAAATATTTACTAGTGAAAGGGAGACAGCTAGGGATGAATCAGATGTAGTCCTATTTAATCCTTATAATTAAACTAAGAGTGAAAATAATTTTAATACAAGTTAGTGTGGTGTGGTTTACTGTTTTAGTGCATTAAATGGCTAGTGCTTTGGATTCAGCAATGGAAAAAAATGTGGTCAAAGAGAAGACACACCTTAGCTTCTGTTTAGTAAAGGGGGTCTGGAGTGTGGACCCTATCTTGACCCCATCTTCCTTGAACATGGGAAGGGTCAAGAACTTTCCCAGTGGTCTGGGCCTTTTATTTCTCAACAAATTTAGGGAAGTTTGCATCACTTTGGGACACACATGGACAGTTTAAATTTCCTTTTACTTTTTCACTGTTAGTTTGTTTGCAAGCTTTCATGTTGCTGTAGCTACCAGAAGTCTTCAAGTAATGTTTTTGGATTTTACAGTCTTGTTTAATGATGCTGTAACAATTTCAGAGCCAGTCAATAGAATAGATTCTTTTCAGATCAGTAGAGTTACTGGATTTCAAGAGACATATTGCTATTATTGATTGACAGGGCATGGACACTCACACGGTGGTCATGGTCATGGACACAGCCACGGACACTCCCATGGCCATTCTCATGGACATACACACATGAATGGTGGACATAACCATTCTCATGATTCAGGTGTGTGTCTGTTTAACATAAATTATTGCAAATGAATTGCAACAACAATTTTGCGAGACACCATGGCATCATGGGTTGACTGACTGAAGCTAGCAGTGCGGCTTCCAGTGTTGACCAGGGTCACCATGTTGTGTTCTTGAACAAAACACTTACTTCAATTGTAGTCTGATTGTACCTCTAATTAATTACTCTAATTGTACCTCTCTCCTCCCCAGAGTTTTAATACTCATGGTTACTAGCAAACCATTAGGACAGCCCAACAAAATGCTTGGGTGTGTAACCTGTGATGGACTACCATCCCACCCAGGGAAAGTAATAATTTGTTCCAGAAAATATCCATGCCTCTCCTATTTATATTTAACAATTACTCCATGAATGTGCATTGGATATAAGACAGCAGATAGCCAATGAGGTATGTGACACCGAGTTGGCTATAACCATCCTATATCTGACAAGTGCGGTTAGAATAATAATGGTTTTGTTAAAAATGCTCTCAAAGTATAGAAAACTAATTAGAAATAAAATAAAAATAAATATGCTTAAAAAATTATGTGTACACTTACTATACTTGTAGAGCATGGTATAATGGCTCACGTACCATGATGGCTAAGCCAATGAAAACTCCAATTGCATTATTCAGTGATCCAGTTTTTTAATAAATAATTTATTTGTTCTTGTATTATTACAGGGTGTTCAGCCAAGGAAGGAAAATTAGAAGTCTCCACAAGTAAAATCATGGAAGGTAACTTCTTAACCAATAAATTTGATAATTTACAAGTACATATATATCCTATTTTCTGCTTTTCAAGAAATTATTTTCAGGTTGCAGTTAAGTTAAAAATAGACTATACATACATGTCTTAGACACGTACAAACAGCAGGGCATTAAAGAATTTCTCAAAGCTGTTTTTGCATTATTATTTCTAGCCAACAAAATCATTTTGACTCTATAGAAAACAGAACATAATTTTGCTATATATCACTGACAATAATTTTCCCGTATGACCTTTTCTATATTTCAACCCATGAAACCCTTGTGATTTTCTATGCCAGCCCAGAAAAGACACCTTTTTCGGTTAGAGCTTCTCCATTGCCATATCTAGTCATTATAAGCAGATGTACCACTCAAGGAGATAGCAGAGTTTTATATGTAGTGTGTTTTCACGTGACATAATACCAGCCATATTGGGATCCCAAAATAATGAAACAGTGGCCATGCTGGAGTTGGAAACCAATCCTGTGGGAGTTGAACTCTTTTCTTATGTAAAAACTGTCTTTTGCACCATTAATTTTGCATGGGTGCTGGCCATGTGATAGGGTCAGTCTCCAACCGTGGGTGTTTTGGTGTGCCCGCGATAAGGTGGAGAGGATCGCGGGTGTGCCAAAACATCCATGGTTGAAGACTGAGCCTATCCATGTGAGTGAAAATGCTCTATTTGTTTCTGATCTATTGAACATTATTATTTCTTTACATGCAGGAGTTTTTCTTCATGTACTGGCAGACACATTAGGAAGTGTAGGAGTAATAATATCTGCAATACTTATACACCAATTTGGTAAGGTTTCTTTTAATGACTTAGACCTTAGCATTAAGATGTGTGCAATACAATTATTACTACCTATGTATTGTTTGTTATGTGTACAGTGGAAATTATGCCAATTTCTCAAATCCTCGATTTTTCAAACCTCTCAGTAACTAGAACCCTTCAGTCGAGCACTGAATTTTACCCCTGATTTCTCAAACTACCTGATTTTTCTCACCAACTTTGTTTGAAAAATCTGGATACGGCTGTGATTTGAAGAAGGGGAAAATTAAGTACCAAGTGTGATTTGTTTTGTTTTGTTTTGTTTTGTCAACAGGCTGGATGTTAGCTGATCCTGTCTGTTCAATATTTATTTCTATTCTTATTTTCTTCAGGTGAGATGCTTATACTATAACTAGTAAGAGTGGTTCCCTGTGCAAGGGTTACCAAGGAATATTGTGTTTACGAATTACGTCTTTCTTTTTGTCATTCTCTCTTCCTCCCAGTGAAATAGCCTGATTGTAAATGAGTTAAACTTCAAATCCAGTAATCTCCTACACAGCCGTTAATGGGCTCGTTGTGCAACATTCCTCCCCCAGCATTGCGTGACAATCAAAATAATGGCTGTGTAAGGGACTACAGATCCAGCAGTAGCTTATTCTTTCTTCTAATAAACACTCCACATTGACTGCCATTTTTTAAATTAGCATTTGTATTCTAATAAGTGCCCTCTTCCAATAAGCTCCCCTATGGAGAAAGTGACATTAAAGTCAATAGAATAGACTGATTGGACAAATGAATTATGAAGTTTGCTTTCTCTTGTCTGAACCTAATATTGAACGTTATGACCATCACAGCCCTAATGGTTACACTGTTACACTATTCTTGAGTTAAAAAGCCTGTTGTTTTCATTTAGTATTACATCACACTCAGATGTACATGTTCGAAAAGAAAGGAGCACCCTATCCCTGACAAGCGCCCCTTCTCCAATAAACGCCCTTCCCTTAAGTTACCAAAAATAAATTAGCACCTCTGGTGCGAAGTGGAATGATTGCAGTAGTCAGTTGATAGCCTGATGTATAAAATATGGTATGCTGTATGTTTTGTTTTCTAATATGTATATCTTTTTTATTGGAGAAGAAAAACCTGACATGATGTTAGTTTGTCAAGTATTTGATTGCCTAGGTCTTGGTTTGATAACTTATCTTGTGGTTTTCTTGTGTGTTGGCAGTGTAATCCCACTTTTGAAAGATTCTGTTGGAACACTAATGCAGAGAATTCCAGTTGGCTTGGAAAAGAATGTGCATATTGCTTATCAAAGGGTAAGTTCATCTGTTCACATGAACCTTTTCAGCTTCGTTTTTAAGGGAAGACTACATAAAGAATGGCAAATTGTAAATCTGACACCCTGAAATGATGACACCGGTATTTTTTTTTTCTACAAGTCCAAGATGTGTTGCCATTTTGAAATGTGAGATTGCAATCTATACATGTAGTGGAACCCTGCCTTACAGCCACCCCATTCATTCAGCCACCTCATTATTATTATAACAGCCACTTTATTCTGGCCCAAACAAAAGCTCAGTCCGTCATTTTGGTATTTAAAGAACCCCAGCCTTAAGTAAGACGTCACTTTTAATACAGGCAGATTTTTGTGGCCCAGTGGTGACTAGATTAACAGGGTTCTACTGTAGTCACTAATTTTCTCTCTGGGCAGTTACCAAAAGAAATTCCTGTGCAGAAAAAGTGGAGAAGAAAAAATATAGTCTTGAAACCCACAAAATAAAAAGTTGTTGCCCACAGTTAAGATGAAAAAAATATTCCTCACTCTCTCTCCCCCACCTTCCAAATGATATAGTGCAGCTTCTCTTAGTTTTTTTTTATGTTTTAGTTGATTCCCATTTAGGACAACTAGAATGTTAAAGTAACTAGGGCTGAATAGTGATTTTCTTTTATTTTATACCACAGGTGAATCAAATGGATGATGTGTTTAGCATTCAGGATCCTCATTTCTGGGCACTCAGCAGGTTTGTATATCTTATTAGATATTTTTAGTGTGCTTGTGCTATCGCTGTATATTTTTATGGAGTTTGAAGTATTTTGGTGAGCCCATATTTTAGTACACACCTTGTAGGTCTAGCAGCATTCTGTCATGAATGCTGTTCTCTTATTGGCTACGCTGGTCACTATCTATTCTGTTTTGGATAATGAGTACCTTGGCAGTGGCATCCGCTTCTTTAAGCTTTTGAAGTGTCTGTGAAGAGGATCAAGATAAAGTTTTGAATGACTAGTAGATTTATACTAAAACAGAAGATTATTCGCTCTCGATTTCTATGCCTGATACTTCACGAGTACGCAATAGAAATCTCGGACTCATAATCTAAATGCTAAGTAAACCAACACTTCTTTGTCTAACATATCCACCCCCCCCCCCCCCCCCCC